TATCTCAAAAGAAATTATATGTGGAAGGAAATACTCTTGAACTCCTTTTCTCTTTCTTAGGCATCAGTGCGACAAGTTGCTTATCTGAGGGCATCTCCAACGGCAACCCGCAAATTACATCCTGCGTCCGTCCGTGGACAGGGGGGCCAGTCTGCCGACACGGATGCGTGAGGACGCCATCCAACACTAACCGCATATATTTTGACAACAACTCGAACCAACCGGCCGAAATTCGATGAAATCGGGCGAATTGATATAAACATGGACGGATTTCATTACATTTACATCAACTAAGCGGAGCTCGTCCGGCTAAGTCCAAATGGTCGTCGGCGCCTGTTCCACATGTCCGGCCATGAACCAAGAAAACTGAAGTTTCGCCTTTTCCAACTTCACCTCGGCGCTCTCCAGCTCTACCTCTGTAACCTCGGCCTCCCGAGCCACGGGAAGCGAAGCTGCCCGCCTCTCCGTCGACGCCAAGCGGCTAATCGGCCGACGATGTTCAGCCTACCAAGCTTGGCGTCGATGGGAGATTCTCGCAACGCCCCATTTTTCTGAAAAATAATCAATCCCTTTTTTTTGCCTTTGCCTTCCATGGCGTCAGGTTGAAATACAAGAACCAAAGCATTTGCAATTTAAATTTTGACAAACGCGACCGTCGGTGGTGGGAAATTAAACAAAAAAAACATCAATAAGTTACAAAATATCTCAAAAGAAATTATATGTGGAAGGAAATACTCTTGAACTCCTTTTCTCTTTCTTAGGCATCAGTGCGACAAGTTGCTTATCTGAGGGCATCTCCAACGGCAACCCGCAAATTACATCCTGCGTCCGTCCGTGGACAGGGGGGCCAGTCTGCCGACACGGATGCGTGAGGACGCCATCCAACACTAACCGCATACATTTTGACAACAACTCGAACCAACCGGCCGAAATTCGATGAAATCGGGCGAATTGATATAAACACGGACGGATTTCATTACATTTACATCAACTAAGCGGAGCTCGTCCGGCTAAGTCCAAATGGTCGTCGGCGCCTGTTCCACATGTCCGGCCATGAACCAAGAAAACTGAAGTTTCGCCTTTTCCAACTTCGCCTCGGCGCTCTCCAGCTCTACCTCTGTAACCTCGGCCTCCCGAGCCACGGGAAGCGAAGCTGCCCGCCTCTCCGTCGACGCCAAGCGGCTAATCGGCCGACGATGTTCAGCCTACCAAGCTTGGCGTCGATGGGAGATTCTCGCAACGCCCCATTTTTCTGAAAAATAATCAATCCCTTTTTTTGCCTTTGCCTTCCATTGCGTCAGGTTGAAATACAAGAACCAAAGCATTTGCAATTTAAATTTTGACAAACGCGACCATCGGTGGGAAATTAAACAAAAAAAACGTCAATAAATTACAAAATATCTCAAAATAAATTATATGTGGAAGGAAATACTCTTGAACTCCTTTTCTCTTTCTTAGGCATCAGTGCGACAAGTTGCTTATCTAAGGGCATCTTCAACGGCAACCCACAAATTACCTCCTGCGTCCGTCCATGGACAGGGGGGCCAGTCCGCCGACACGGATGCGTGAGGACGCCATCCAACACTAACCGCATACATTTTGACAACAATTCGAACCAACCGGCCGAAATTCGCTGAAATCGGGCGAATTGATATAAACACGGGCGGATTTCATTACATTTACATCAACTAAGCGGAGCTCGTCCGGCTAAGTCTAAATGGTCGTCGGCGCCTGTTCCACATGTCCGGCCATGAACCAAGAAAACTGAAGTTTCGCCTTTTCCAGCTCCGCCTCGGCACTCTCCAGCTCTGCCTCTGTAATCTCGGCCTCCTGAGCCACGGAAGCGAAGCTGCCCGCCTCTCCGTCGACGCCAAGCGGCTAATCGGCCGACGATGTTCAGCCTACCAAGCTTGGCGTCGATGGGATGGGAGGAGCGGTGGCCTTCCTGCGACCTGAGTGGCTGCGACCTCGCTCCCGGGGCACCCGTGGACGTGCCGGCTTCGTGGTCGTCGCGGCGGGGCGCGGACTCGGCGATGTCCTCCGCCTCGTCGTCGGTATCGCCGAACACCGCCTCGCCCGCGTCATCACTTTTCTTGTAGGCGGCCGCCACCTCCGCCACCCACTAGCGGTACCGCCATCGGGCGAGGCGGATCTCGCGGGCGGAGCAGTAGAACTCGAGTAGCGCCTTCTGCTCCGTCAGGTCCGCGTCCGGCGCGACAATCGTGCGAGCGGCGAGCTGCTCCTCCGCCTGCGAGTGCTCCTGCAGGAGGTGGTTGTTGTAGGCGGCATCGGCTTGTGCCTCCTGGAATTGCTCCTCCCACTCCTCTCCCGCACCATGTCCATGTAATGGGCACGAACCTCGCCGATGGTCATGGTGTAATGCACCGCGCGAGGGGGCGCCGGTTCGTCGACCGCATCGTCCTACATTGGGACGTCGTCGTCCTCCGGCTGCCTGCCTGCCAGCAGCAATGGCGACCATCTCCTTCTTCTGGTCCGACGTCAGCCCGTCCCAGAGAGCTTGGGCGGGGGAAGAATCCATGGTGGGAGTGTTGCGGAGAGGGATCGAAGGTGGATGGCTAGGGCTATGGCCAGGGCACCGATTTTTATAGCAATGGTGGGCGGGAGAGGAACGAACGGCTGGCACCGGAGGAGACGCCTTGGCAACCGCGTGCCATCAATGTGGGTGGCAGACGGACAGATGGCGGGCGGCCGTCGTGTCTTTTGAGTGCACGGTAGTCGCCTGCACCACGAAGCTGTGCGGGCGGCGCTCTCGGCTTGTGCGCCGCTTCAATGTCGTCGCCAGTGAGCGGTCGCGTCCACTCTGGCCGGGTATGAATACAGCAGCCGACGCTCTGGAGTGGCGCTGCCCAAAAACACGCGGGAGAGGGGAGGGGGTTTTGGTGGGCCAGGGCGGTCAGAAGCGGGCGTGGATCAGTCCGCACTCCCGCAAAGCCCCCCTCCCACCCACATTTTGTCTTCAGTTTGCGGAAGAAATCACGTCCAGACCACTCTGCAGACCGATACAAGCCCACGTTGGATGGCTTTCGCGGTCCGGACGGATGCGGGTGGTTTGCGGGTCCACCTTGGAGATGCCCTAAACCATTGCTTCAAAACAAGCTAGAGTTTCAGGCTTTCAGCTGCCATTGGGAAGAGCCACATGGACTTACAACTGCGTAATATTTACATCAAGCAGGGGGAGTTCAAAACAGAAAGGTTTATGCAATGGAAGTTCTAGAATCTGTAGGCTTCGTAGGGAATTTTGAATGTTCAATCAGCTGGAAAATATTCGTTGAAAACCACACTCATGGCGAAAACACTGAAAACTGAAAAACCAAATTCAGAAAGTTTCAGATGATACTAAAAAAATCAATACGTTGAGAAGTTGATTTCTACAAATGCTAATCAATCATATTCGTGAGCATGAAAAACAATCTAACAGGAAAATAAACGATAGAACCAGAAAAACCACTATCCATGTTTGAATCTGTTGTTGTTTTCATAACTCACAAATACATCAAGTTTGAGCTTGAAATTGCACTCGAGTATAGAATGTAGACGAATTTGCATTACAAAAATGTCCATACGGTCCAAAAGAGGATCGGCGACCACTATCATTGTGATAATGGAACAAGAGATATGCATTACAAATTGTTTAACAAATACAACACTTACATACAGCTGTATCAGAAATTTGGCAATATAAACTTGTCAAGATGAGATGTACAAATCAAGCAGCAGAAGGCTTGAGGATGCCCCACAAACATGATAAAACATTGACAGGACATGGTCATTGAATTATTCTATCCACTCGGTCAGCACAACGGTTCTTTTGCACCAAATTTGGAGTTCGCTAAACTATCCCTCGTGGTTATTCAGCACCTACTGTGATGGTTAACATGAAACAGCACACAACACAACAAAAGAAGAAAGAGGTGAGGAAAGGAAAATACATCTTCGAGCCGATCAGCGCCCAGCAGTTTCATTCACATTTACGTATCGATTCCCTACGATCCAGATCAAGCACGCACGCCTCAATGAAGCTATAATCACAACAAGCGACACACAATGCATCGACGCGAGTTCGAAACCAAACGGGATGAAGAGACAGTGAGTGCAGGAGCCCAGAGAAGGTGTCGATCTCTCTATTTATTCTGGATCGCCCTTTTTGTGGCACCTCACTTGCACCGCCAGTGTGGCCGTCGTCGTGGGGCAGTTGATGTCCGCACCGTAAAACGTGTGCAGCACTGGTAGCACGCACCCCTTCTTGCCGAGGCATTCCTGTGCATATACTCCAGAGATCAACCGGCAACCATAGGCAGGAACAAGCAAAATGTGATCCAGGATAAGCTACAGTATTACAGATGATGCGCATTGTTAAGGGGGGAATGTCTGTACCTTTGCGACGATTTCCTTCGCATTGGGAGTGTGGCAGGTGCCTACAGTGAAGTTGGCGCATGACCCCACCGGGTTGCCAAAGCTGGCAAAGACTACCTCCTGGATGATCTTCTTCGGGGGGCAGTTCAAGAATCCCCGAGTGTTGTGGTCTTCGGCTATGAGCTTGATCTGGCCTCCATGCTCGTCCCATGGCTTTATCTGTGCAGGGTTGTGCTCCGAGATGAACACGCAGATGTCATCTCTCCTCACTGTCTGGATGAGTATGCCTTCCGGCTTGCCAAGCTCCTCCTCAAATACAACCAATAGGTTGTTCTTGGATTTCAAGAATGTCCGTGGAATATGGTACCTGAAAGGAAAATTAATAAGTTCAAGAGTGAAAATATGGTACCTGAATGGGTTGTTGAGCAGCGCAGAACTTCCATACACTGCCTGGGAAGCGACTTTGCCAGGAGTTTTGTATGACGTCCAGTAGCGACCCATGCCTTCGCCGTTCACGAATATCATACCCTTGCACATAGAAGTCATGTCAAGGACAACAGGATCATCCCCGTCTGGCTCGTCAAAGTATCTCTGACATGACATGAAACAGACAGTGACATTGACAGTTAGAAACAAAGATTGAAGAGACTGAATGTATGATGATCCTTTTCGTGGCCCGGCTTACCTTGTACCAGGTGACAGCCTGTCCACTCACGGCCGGTACCCACTTAACAGCGCCCATGCCTTTCTCCGTGTAAATCTCCTTCACCTCACCCTCCAATTTGGCCTGGTTAAAATAAGCATGGAGGTGATCATTTCTTAGTATATCAGTGCATTATGCCTTGAGGAGCAAAAGTGTATCCTTTTCTCAAATACCAAGCGCAATAGCATGTACCTTATGGCCCCAGCCATTGATTTGCAAATCTAAGGTTCCCGTGTTGAGTCCCTGTATTGTGCAATCCTGAATGCCACCCTTTAGTTCAACGAGTTCACCACCACTGTCCTGCAAACAACAGCAAAATGTGCAAATTGACCTATGACTGGTCAGGATTCCATCATAAATTGTGTGCAACCACCAACTAGCCAGCTAGAGCCTGAAACACTTATATATTACCTTCATTCCCATGGATGATGACAGCAGCGCGAGATGGTTGACACCTAATCTTAGACTAATGGGTGTTTCAAACGTGAAAAACTTCTCTTTCTTGCTTCCATGACCATTCCCTGCATTGATGGTGGTTATGAGGTCTCTTTTTAGTACAATTGTTAGTGCTTGCAATTGGTATCTGCTTTTGGATAAACAAGATTATTACAGAGTTGGACATGTTACCTGCAAAGGCATCATTGACAAATCCTACCATTGCATGTGCAGTGCTTTTGACCGCAATCACAGGCCGGATGTCACCCCTGATGGGCAAATCATCTGCCTCCAAGCGAAAACTGCACGGTTGTTGTAAACAAACACAAATAGTGAATTCACCATTTTGCTACCTGTGGGAAAATATAAAGTATAAATGCTCATAATACTGAGCTGAAATGAAGGTGTGATGAAATTAAGAAACAACACCTTGTGGTGTACCACAAATAGTCACTTTGGTCTTTGGTCTGGTTATACTGCTCCAAGGGTTCCTTGTTCCTGATAGTAGTTTGTTTATACCTCGGAATCAACTCTGAGAACATCTCCCAAACATTGTTCTTGGTCGCCTTTTCGGCTTTATGGAATGACCTTTCACTATGTTGAACAAACACCTAGCATAACATATGCATAACACAAGTCAGGAATGTATGCTCTTTATTACCACTGAAGCAATGTCCTTACTAATTAGACGCAAATGCATACGGTGCACATACTCTCTTTGTGTTGTACACCACATGCTTGCAGTCTGCAAGGATGGAAACTGAGCGGCTCGGAATGTAGTACTTGTCCCCTCGGAAAATCACAGTTCCGTCCTCCCCTGTATTGTTGTTGGAGATGAAAGCCAAGCATAGCTTTTCCTCAGGAATCTCGAAGTTGCGTGCCTGCACGTGCAGGAAACTAATCAGACCAGAAGAAAATTGACTGTTCAATAACAGAACACTGTCACACAAAACATCTCAAGTTTTTTCGTGCAGAAATGATGGAAGCAGTTGTTCCCAACCTCATACCCCTGACCCAATAGCTCGAATGATTGTTTCCCCTCAAGGAAAGCCCTGCTGTATGACTTGATTACATTGTGCAGGTCCCTGAGATGCCCATATTTGGGCGCCTTCGGCATACCTGGATGAGTACATTGACCGAATTTCAGTCAAAACAGTACATTGACCGAATAACTGATTGTTAGACACAATCGAGGCAACAGATGGAACCAGGAAAGCTTGAAATGTACAATTGAGCCAATCTAACCGTATTCATCAATGGGACCTTCATCGTAATATCCAGTCAACACATAGGAAGCACCCGTCCTTCCAAAATTTGTTCCACCATAATACTGTTCAAAACAAGTGACCATGCAACTCCATGAAAAGTTCTAGTATTTTCTCTGTGGCGATTTGAATGCATATCATTGCAAAAATGCAAATGGATAAGCATACCATGTAGTAATTTACCAATGTCCCACCCTTGGCAAAAAAACGTAACACGGAATATGCAATGTCCTCTGCTGAACGCTGAGCTAAATCATTACCAAATGCTCTGAACCTGTGTATTCCAAGAAGTTGCTCTTAATATTAATGTAAAAAAATTACTTGGTGATAGATAGCATGTCTCTCCTGATTTCCACTACCAAAATGTTCAGTATGGTGGTATCACTGCAAGGGAAATATGCTGTAAATATTTGGTTAATGACACATAAGATATCATAGTATGACAGTATCATCTTTAGAGGAATAAGTTGAAAATATTTTGCGTGATCCACTCCCAACATTATAATGGTAATTTCTTTTTCTTTTTTGACGCGTCAACGGCGGGCTTACGCCTGCCTAAACCATGTGTCCCCACATGTTCAGTATGGTGGTATCACTGTAATGGTAATTTCACATAAAGTGTACGCAAAATGCAGTTAATATGTTTGGATGATCAAAAGTTGACGGGTGCAACATCTTCCTTTCCATAAGCATCAATGACATACCAATTTTGGAAAACAAGTAGAATGTTGAGTATGAAAAACTTGAACTTACTGTGCAGTCCAGTTCTCAGTCCAAAGGTGGGGTTTATTTTCGTCTTTCATTATCCATGTGTCCCCACAGTGCCTTCCGTTGCAGGTAGGAATCTAGTGAGAGCGGGCACATATTAAGAGATGGAGACAAGGGAATACACTCTGGATCAAACATTCTCATTTACGATAGTTGTTCAAATTTACAGCCTGTTTGGGGTGCAGGGTTTCCAGAAAAGCGGTTCAACTTTTACAGGATCTCAGTTCCCTTCTCAAATGGGGCCTTGATTAAAAAAATTGATGTATTTTTACCATTTATAATAGCATGCCTTAAGATGTTCACCACATGTTTGGTAAAAGAGTTACCACTACACCAGGAGCCGTAGATTGCTTGCACATTATCCATGGGACTCCAATGTTGGTGCTAATGGCCATTTCAGCAGCCCATTCAAGGTACTTGTCACCTTCAGTTATATGATCCTTTTTAATATTTCCGTACTCATTCTCGATCTGTGAAATTTGCACGGCGCATGAATATAATCACGGGCATGCAATAAACAGATGTAGGTATAACATCATCATATATACAGGTAGAATTTAACTGACCTGGGCTAGAATAATGTTCCCTCCTTGAGATGCGAACAAATTCTCATCCTTCAACATTTGCACTATGAATCTCACAAACTTCTCCATTTCTCTCTGCATTACAAAACACCGGCGGTCATCTGTCTAAAACTCTTGGCACAAATGCACATACACCTACCAGGCTCTTGCAACCGTGTGAGTGATTGATTGCCATTACCTTGTAAGGCTCGTTGTTGGCGCGGAATATTATGTGTGGAATCTCCCTGAGCCAATAGGGCAATGCACTGAAGGGAAAACAAACAAACAAACAAACAGAAGCAGCCACATGAGACGAGCATACACACCAGGATTGCATTGCAGACCATAAAACTGGCCACATTATTACAATTAAAACTGAAAGTGAAACATATTTTGGCAGATTAACAGACCCGTGATTCCATTCTCCCTGGATGAATGGGCCGATGCGCACGATGGCGTACATGCCGAAGCTCTGGATCAGCTTGAGGAACTTGATCATGTCGTTCCTGCCTTCGAAATTGAACTGCGGTGCGTGTGCAACGGGTGAGCTGCATGTGTTTTGTTTTGCGGCGGCGGCGGCAGGGGCCAGGGGGTGTGCGTGCGTAGAGTACGTACCTTGCCGGGCTCGGGCTCGTGGGCGTTCCAGAAGACGTAGGTCTCGATGGTGTTGAGGCCGCCTTCCTTGGCGGTCTTGAGCAGCTTGGGCCACATCTGCGTGGGGCTGCGCGGGTAGTGGATGGCGCCGGAGAAGAAGAGCTCCCGCCTGCCGTCGATCATGAGGGAGTACTTGTCGTAGGTGACGGTCGTCCCCTTCTTCGTCAAGTTCCACTTGGGCCTGGACGCCTCCGCCGCGCCCGCGAGGAGCGCGGCGGCCACGGCCACGGCCAGAACGAGCGCCGCGGCGGCGGTCATGTGGGCCAGCGAGGTGGGGGGGAGGGAGATGTGGGGACGGGGAGTAGGGGTGGCGACACTAGCGAGGGGCCGCGGGAGGAGGGCCGCGCTTTGAAGGGCGGGGCCCCGGGGGGCGTTGCGCGGGAGCGGCCGCCCGGCATTGCGGCGGTGGCGAGTGGTGGCGAGCGGCTGCGGGGGCCGGGGATCGCGGCCGTTCTTTTTTCCTTCCTCTTTTCATCTTTTTCCGGTGATTTTCGGGTTTTCTCACTCCTGCCGTCTAGTAGTGTAAGCCACACATTCCCATTCCCCATCTAAAGAAACACTCCCTCCGCAGGACTTTCTCAACCAAATATTCTCTCCCTTCTCCGTGTTGAAAATAACTTATATTCCCATTGTTTCTTCAAAATGCACATCCAAATTATATATGCTTTTAAGTGATTCATCCGATGTCCTAAATTCGACTGGCCTGCATGCCTGCGTGGTGCTTTGACGGCAGCCACGTCGACAGGGTCATGCGGCGGAAGATTTCCCATGCCTGCCGGTTGGGCATTTTTGCATCGCCCCTCATAAGATGCTTGCTTTTCATTTCTGCCCGGTCCCTAGGTCTTCTCCCCCACCGCCTTTTGGTGTAGCGAAGTTCAGAATCGATGATGCCGTGTCAAGGAACCATAATGAGGGTTTCTTTAGCATGGTATGTAAAGACTTTTCAGGTCTATTCTTGGGCTCCTCTGTCATCAAGATACCAGATATTAATTACGCACCAACGACATTGAAGGCATTGGCATGCTGAGAGGCACTTGCACTTGCTTTGGACTTATCATTATCACATGTGATCATTGCTTCTGACTGTCAAGGTGTGGTCCATGATATCAATCGGTAAACTGATGGTGTGTATGCGAGCATCGTCATGGAGATAACGGAGACATCTAAATCTTTTAACCATTGTACCTTCATCTTCAAGGTTAGAGCTACCAATCTCAAAGCCCATGGCCTCGATAAGCATGTTTTCTGTCTTCATTATAGGCGTCATGTGTGGCTGTTAAACCCATCAGATCTTCATTGTATCCCAGTGAATATCGTTGAATAAAAAGTGTGTTTGGTTCTAAACAAAGTAAGACTCGTCGTTACCCCTAAAAATGCAAGACTCGTGCGAACGAACCTGTAATTGGATGATTAGGAGGAGAGTGATGTCCCAGCCCACCTGTGTTTTAAGTCCTGGTGCTCGCATTATTTCTGGATTTTTTTTAGGATTTGCAGCGATGGACATTTAGTGGGAGGAGACGTTCCCGTCAACTACGAGACGCTTATGGTGACTTCGTTAATCTGAAAATGATATGTCAACTTGGTCTTTCGAAAATGCTCATAGGCATAGGATCTGCGTGTGTTCATAGAGATGAGTGTATGCGCGTATATATAAGCTTATGCGTCTGTTTTTTGTTTAAAAAAAACTCGCCGTTGAGTACTGTATCTCAAAAAAGGTAGCCTGTGCTAAAAAAAATGGACTCGCCGTTGGGTGGGACCATTAGTTCAGGACTTGCGCCGTTTCCGCCCCCTGGGTTAACAGAGCAGCGCCGCCGGCCGCCGCTCCCTCACCCCCTCCACCTGCATACCTAGAGCCGCTATTTCTTCCTCCCTCTGCGCGCGCGCAGGATCGACGACGATGGCGGGGGAGGCAGGAAGGAGGAAACGCGCGGCGGTGGTTGTGCTGGGCGACATCGGCCGCAGTCCCCGGATGCAGTACCACTCCCTCTCCCTCGCCAGCCAGGTAAGGCACCTCTCTCCCAAATCCGCAGTCTCATGTTTGTTTTGATTGATTGGGTTGGATTAGAGGGGCGTACTGTTTACCATGTATTTTTTTTCCCTTTTCAACAAGTGGAAGCAGTCTTTGGAAGCTGGCTGGTACCTTTAGGCTTGCGCATGTTCCTTGCTGTTGAGAGCATGGAGCCAAGAATTCTAGCGAGTCACTTTGGTTTATTGTGTTCTAGTATCTTGCACTTACTCGTTCATTATCTTTCTCAACAGGCTGGTTTGGAAGTGGACATTGTTGCAAACGGATGTACTGTTGAATTTTACTCCCAAACTGTAGTAGAGAAAAGTATACATTTCATCCTTCAATTTTTGGCGGAGTCTAGATTTGGTCCCTCAACTCCAAAACCGGACAACTTGCACCCTTAACTTCTGAAACTGGACAAGATTCATCCCTGGTCACGGTTTTGGTGCCGTCCCACCCCGGTTTTGACCGTTCCGACTCAAATTTGCCTACCTTTTCCAAGTACGGGAGCCTTTTTAAAATTCGGTTATTTTTTTCAAATACGTGAACCTTTTTAAAATACGGTTACTTTTTTCAAATACATGAACCTTTTTAAAATTTGTGTACTTTTTTAAAATCTGCATACTTTTTCCAAGTTCATATACTTTTTTAATTATGCGTATTTTTTTAAAGTTCATCTAGTTTTTTTAAATTGATGTACCTTTTCATATTCGAGTACATTTTTTTGGAAAGAGTTCATGAATTTGAAAAGTTTATGCGAACTGGAAAAAAGTACGCGGATATGGAATTTTTTACGCAAAAATATGTGGATTTCAAAAATTATTTCAGCTTGAAACAAGTACGTGAATTTCAAACAAAGTTCATGGATTAGCATAAAAGGAACACATATTATAAAAGTATGCAAATTTCAAAATAGTTCGCTGATTTGAAAAAAAGTATGTTTATTTTTGAAAAATACGCGAGCTTGATAAAATTACGTAGAGTTGAAAAGTGTATGTGAAATTCAAAAAGTTCACGGACATAAAATAATTACACAAATATGAGTGAGCACCGGTCAAAACCGGGGTGAGTCAGCACCAAAACCGGTCAAAACCGAGTCCAGGGACGAACCTTGTTCGGTTTCGGTAGTTGGGGGTGCAAGTTGTCCGGTTTTGAAGTTGAGGGACCAAATCTAGACTTCACCAAGAGTTGAGGGACGAAAAGTATACTTTTCTCAACTGAGTATGAAGCTATTTGTACCCTGAATACCAGTGCTCCTACACCTTAAGGGACGGGCCGACGGCATACAAGCCAAAATTGCAACATATTTCAGTGTTACCTTTTTGAGATCTGACCTTGTGTCCTGTTTTATGTCTATGAGCAGGAAGTGATCCCCATTTATCACTGAGAGAGAACCCGTCAATTCACATCCATGAGATGGTATTGGTTATTTGAGCCATTCTATTATATATATTTTCTCATGCTACAGTTGACTTCAAGGTTGTATCTTCAGAAACCAGTGCAGTTATCAGGAGTTTCAAAGATATCTGGGGCCCTGGCACTGCTACTTAAAGCTGCCATCCAGTTTATCATGCTGATTTGGTTTCTCTGCTTTAAGATTCCTCGCCCTGATGTCTTCATTGTTCAGGTAAAATTACATACAACTTTCTTATTTGCATATGTGGTTCAGAATTACATGAAGAGTATGTCTGATCACTGCCATTGTCAGCAGGTTTAGTTATTTTTTAAGAGAATTCAACAATCTAGAATTCATTGTCCACCATGCTAAGCAATATCTTTTGAATAAAACCATACTGATACTGAGTAAATGAATAGTCATAGTTGGCTTATTGTGCAGCTTAAGGAATAAATACTAAATAGTAACTCATGCTATGCAATATGTACAGTGACCTGTTGTTGACACCATGCTCATTTTGGCAATGCTGATTGTACTCCCTCTGACCCATAATGTAGTGCATATAGATTTATAAAAAAAATCAAACCTTGTGAAGTTTGACCACCTTTATAGAGAAAACTATTTATATCTACAATATCAAAGATATTCAATATGAAAATATGTCTCATGATGTATCTAATGACATGTATTTGGTATTCTAGATGTAAATATTGTTTTCTACAAACTTGGTCAGAGTTTGTAAAGTTTAACTCTTTAAAAAAAATATATGCACTGCATTATGGGACGGAGGGAGTAGTATATTTACAAAGTTGTTTACTCTGACCCTTACTTAGTTACAGAATATCCCTTTTGATTAATATTTTTTTAAAAAAAATTGGTAATAAAAAATGTCAAGATTTAGTTATTGTATTTCACAGTAACAATGAGAGACCTGATTTGTGTCATTTGACCATCTTTTGTCCAACAGAATCCACCCTCCGTTCCAACATTGGCTGCTGTAAAACTGGTTAGCTGGCTAAGAGGTGCTAAATTTATTGTGGATTGGCATAACTTTGGATATACTTTGCTTGGGTTGTCTCATGGCAGAAGTCATGTAATAGTCAAAATCTATTTCTGGTAACGCTCTAACCATGTTTGCATAACTGCTAGACTGTTTCTATATCTTATTGGTCATGTGTTTTAATTAGTGATGTTTTCCTGTATTCTAGGTTCGAGAAGCACTTTGGGCGGATGACTGATGGTGCCTTTTGTGTTACGAAAGCAATGCAACATGAGCTTTCTCAAAATTGGGGAATCAAGTAATCAGATTGAACTTCAACTTCTTTTTGTAAAAAGGCTGTTTCACATGCTGCAGTTTGTACTAACATTAGATAACCATAATTTTCAGAGCAACAGTTCTTTATGATCATTCTCCTGAATTTTTCCATCCTGCTTCCTTGGCGCAGAAACATGAGGTGAGCATCTGTTGTCAGTTCTTCCCACACTACTTGCAGTACTGCATATCAGTATATGTGACCTTAACACGTGAAGTAGTTGTTCTGCAGGTTGGGTAGTTCCATTTGTAGTGCTATGGGCAGTGCTGATTGCATCTCTGTTGGTAATGTTATTTTCCAATCAACTGGAATAGTTTGCATGGTATAAGCATATTCTAGTTTGATTTATTTTATTTGGTTTTCTGTTACAACAAAGAAAAAGAAGTGGAAGACAAGAGCACTACTGTACTTACTAGCAAGATTGATGGTGGAGTTTCTTTGAAGCCTAATAGACCTGCGCTTGTTGTGAGCAGCACAAGCTGGTATGTTCTCTTGAACGGAGTGGTCTCTATTGTGAAACTCTTTATGTTCATCTCACGTG